CAATGTACTGCATAACACCCCACCCAGAAAATTACATCGAAACTCGTCTATGATCCATCCATTTTATTATATATCCGTGCATCTAACATTGACTATTTGTCTGGGGATCTCCAAAATGTGGTCTACCATTTTTTTCACCTTAAATATTCAGTGAATTCGTCCAGATTCCAGTTAAAAATCAATAAATCAAACTGTACAAATGTTAATATCCAAATTTTGGAAAGTTCAGCTTTTATTGATGACATCAGTTCTCATTTTTACTTTTAAATGTTCCTTATGAGACGACATTCCTTTTTATTTCTCCAGTTTTAACAGGAAGGGCCCAGGATCCGGATCCGGTTTAACATTAAGGTACCAGGATCCGGATCCAATTTTAATAGGATGGGCCAAGAATCTGGATTTAACAGGAAGGGCCCAGGATCCAGATTCAGTTTGAACAGGACGGGCCCAAGATTCAGATCCAGTTTTAATTCGCTGCGGGTCCAGGATCCGGATCCAGTTTGAACAGGACGGGTCCAGGATCCGGATCCAGTTTGAACAGGACGGGCCAAGGATCTGGATCGCATCAAAATTACCCCGAGCAAAAAAAAACTTAATTAAATATTTACCTTCTTGTGTTCTGGTTCATCGGCACGAGAAAAGGCCTGCAAAAAAGTGTAAAAGTTTAAGAAATTCTAGATATTGAGATTTATGTAAACGAAGAAGAAAAGCTAGATTATGTACAATTTTAAGTAAATATTTTTATATTTCAACTCGAGAAAAGGTCTGCAAAAAAGTGTAAAAGTTTAAGAAATTCTAGATATTGAGATTTATGTAAACGAAGAAAAAGAGCTAGATTATGTACAATTTTAAGTAAATATTTTTATATTTCAACTCGAGAAAAGGCCTGCAAAAAAATTAACATAAAACCGAGAAATTAAGATTTTTAAAAACGACGAAAAAAAGCTAACATTTAAATTTACGTCTTTTAAAATTTTGATTACAGCCCAGGCCCCTGACAGAAAGGGTGTACAAAATGGATTTTCAGTATTGTCAACAAAAGAATGAGAATATAATGACGACCTTGTTAGTCTATGCATCTATTGACTGAAGTTTGAATGTAGCATTCTCTGAAGTCTCAATTTTTGTAGATAACCCGGTATCAATATACAGCGTGGCCCACCAAACATGGCAGTAGCAAGACGACTTAGAAAGGTCGTCTTATATTTTTAATAGAATTTACTCATTTAATTGTCAACCCAATTTAAGAAGTGAAATCATTTAGATAATAATAACAAAAATGCATGCAATACGGCCATTTCCAAAATGTGTATTTTGTGGTTATTGTTTAAAATAGGTTGACGACTGAATATCAAATAAATTCATGATCAAAGACGACTTTCAACTCGTCTTGCTACTGTCATGTTTCGTGGGACACCCTGTACCTGTTCCTTCTCAGCTAGTGTGAGTTCAATATGGCAGGGTGAGGACATGTAAGGATTAATTCTACCGTGAGCTCTGTAGGTTCTTCTTCTCATCTTAGGAGCACGGTTAACCTGAATATCAGGCGTTAAAGAGACTGTTAGCGTAATTTTAAAAAATCTTCCAGTTATAGAGAGGCATGTCCGATTCACAACGGTACCCTTGAAACCCTTGTCCGGTCAACAATGAGGTATATAATCTCATTTGTATATCTGAAGATTAAGTGCAGGGAGACTCGAGGTTACACTGTACAATCCATGCTAGTCAGAGGTGTATTTAAGGGGGGATATGGGGGCTAATCCCACTGGACCAGTTAAAATTTTTTGATTTCAGAAAGTTTTTAGGCCCTGACGGGGGCCCCTCAGGAAAAAAAAATTTAAGCCACCCCTGGACAAATTCCTGAATACCCCCCTGATGCTAGTTAGTGTACATTGTGCACTCGCGCGGTTCCTTGGCACTTATTTTCCCACTATATAATAAAAATATTTACTTAATTATTGAGTTCTTAAAATGTCTAAAAGGTATCGTTGTAAATCGGACATGCCACTTTAAAAATGGAAGGTCACTTGAAATTATGCTTACAGTCCCTTTAAAGAAAAAGCACCCGAATAATATAATAAGTTTTTTTGGCGTAGATAATTTAAACGTTATTTAATTGAATTGTTCTAAAATGTTGAACACCAGGAGGTTCAGCGAGCGTGGGATGGGACCCATGGACGCCATGAGCCTCCACAATGCAGACACGAGCCTCCCCAGATTTGCTAGACAGACCAATTCTACGCCATGCAGTAAGAGCCTCCGCTATGCAGTAAACGAGCCACCGTATACAGCAAAGTTCATTTATAACTCTTGATTTTTACATATATTGATTGTCATTATTTGTAACTTGTATTGACTCATGAAGTGAACATTTCTTCCGTAGTAAGGAGGCTATTTGAGATTTCATTTCTGAATTGATCTTAGTTTATTTTCTTTTAATCTTTGATTTAAGCATTACCTTTTTTGGGAAATATTTCTAGGTCCAGATAATTGGTAAATGTCAAATTTTAAATTATCTTAATTTGATAAAAATTAGAAAATAAGGTATCACTTAAATCAAAGCTTATTAAATATCAAGTAAAATTACTTTCAGAATTTTTACTTTTAATGTCTTTCTTTTTGCGTATAAAATGTTTCAAGTTAATAAACAACTTCATTAGTCTTAATTAATTACTATTTATAATAATTGATTAATACGTCTGATCTTTCATTAACAATTTAGGCCACTATGTCGAAAAACATACAAAAAATTCTTAACTACATGTTAAAACCAAGAGTTCTAAGAACATGTTCTGCATAGCTGAGGCTCGTTTACTGTATAGAGGAGTCTCTAGGAGGCTTGTGACTGCATAGGGGAGGCTCATGGCGTCCGGTTGTTCCCTCTCTCAGCGAGCAATAGCTGTATCTAGAGTCAAGAACCCCTTGTAAAATAAATATGAAACAAAAAACATATTAATTACTATTTTAATTTCTATGGGGGGGGGGGCAGTTAGCTTGTTTATGTTTATGTTAGGATTATTTTCAGGACTCCTGGCGGAGTATAAAAACATTTCCGAATGTTGTCATGATATTCATATGGTTGCATATATCACATTAATATACAGAGTATATTATATTCAATAATTACCAATATCCATTGAATCAAGATTAAAAATAAGGGACATTTATTTCTTTTTTTTGTAGAGTTTATATTTTTTCTCTTCCTTGACATTTGTTTCTTTTTTTCTTTTTCGACATTTTTTTTATTTTTTTCTTAGATTTTTTTTTCTTATTTGGCTTTTTGTTTTCTTTTTTTGGCTCTTTTTGTCCCAACAAAATAAACTAGATTAGAAATGTTTTACATATTTATTTATCATATCAACGAAAAGTAAAAATTTGAAGGAAAGACAACATTTTTTAATTGACGATGCATAAAGAAAAAGGCACAATTAAAAGTTGAAATAGAAGATGGGCGCTGCGCCCAAAAGCCTAGTTTATATAAAAATATATATTATATATATTTGTAGTTCTAAATATATAAATATATACAAGGCGAGTCAAAAAAGTGTAACTAGCGGCAAAGGGTGCAAAATTGTATCCTTTTTTTGTGCAACTCTCCTGTATGGTGTTTTAAAAAAATATTTTTGGAATTTTTTTATTTTTTTTTGGTATTCCAATGGCCGAAAAAAATCCGCGAACATTTTTTCTCTCAACATCAAAATTTCAGAAAAGCAAAAATGTGTATTTAAATCATTTCAATCGAAATCTAAATATTATATTGATTGAATAACAGAATCACCAGAACTGAAATTTTCTGTGATTTCTAATTGAATCCATGTGAAGTTTAAATTTTGGTTCTATTTTTTCCGAGTTTGGATATACTTAACATATATATATATATGAGTAGGTTATGTTCTATTTCAATTGTGAACATTTCTATATTGCATACATTGTAACACAGTAACAAAAGTTCGCGGATTTTCTATAAAATTTTTTTTTGGTGCAATTTCAAAATCTAATAAATATTTATTTTGTTGTGAGGCTAATTTTTGAAACTTTGGTCATTCATAAATTTTTCATTGTGTCACAAAATTTGGACCCGATCGGTTTTTTTTTCAGCCGTTTTGACATTTATTGTATCCGAACAGACAAACATACAAACAGACAAGCAAAGTATATATAAAGATGAATTTTCGAATTATGAGCGAAAAAAGTTAAGGAAAATTTAAGATATTAACTATTCCTGTTCACAAATCTAGACAATTTTTTCAGGGGGTAAAATATCAACCAAAAACTGCAGAAAAAAAAAACGTTTTTACTCCTAAACCCCAAATCCAAACTTTTGAAAAAAGAGAATCTTTTTGTTAACAAAATTCAGTAAATCTTAAAGAAATGACCTGGATCCGGATCCATTTTATTTCAGTGCGGATCCGTATCAAAATAAAATGGATCCTAAGCACTATCCAGCAGATTAATGGAAAAAGTTTGCCAAAGTTGTTTACCTTTGATAGCTGGCCAAATGACAGTCCCAAAATGGCTGAAATTTTTTAATTATTTTTTTTCTTTAAAAATCATTTGTTTTCTTAAAATTCGACGGGCACCTCAGCTAATTATCCAAAAATATTTTAACTAAATGTTTAAGAAAAAGATGTGTTCAGGTTCTACCTGAATATGATCAATAACCAGATGATCCGCATCTAGACCCTTGTACTCGGCATTGCTTTCCGCGTTTTTCAGCATATGGAGAAGGAACTCGGCGGATTTGAGGGGCCAACGACCCTGGCAGGTACCATGAACAGCAGCCTGGGCATGTCGTCCTACTCCTCCCATAAACCTAGGACGGAAAATAAATGTAAAAGTCCTCCTTGACCTTGTTTTAAGTAGTGCTTAGGATCCGGATCCGTTGGATCAGCAACATTATGACTTCCTATATTCGGATCTGCAAATTTATGCGGATCCACGAATCCGAATCCCAAATACCTGCAAATAACTGCAAAAAAAAATTTTGCTCTAAAAACCCAAATCCGAACTTTTAAAAAAGAGAGATTAATAAATTTTTCCTTATCTATAAAGGTTCAAAAGGTTTCGAGTAAAAATAAGAGAAAAAAAGAAAAGAATATTTTTAAAATTTTTATTCCGTTAAAAAAATCAGCAAATCTTAGAAATTTGACTCATGACCTGGATCCGCCTCAAAATGGATCCTAAGCTAAAATATATTAACATTACCCAAATATATATGAAAATATAATAACATTACCCTGTAGTTTGCGGTTTAAATACTCGAAAGTTAAATTCTCCGAGATAGAAAGACCGCAATAATAGAATCATAAAGGATTGAATCAAGATATAAATAATTCTTCTTAATTGAAATAGGTTCCAGAATGAAGTTATTTAATTTTAACAATGCAATGATTCAAAATCTTTTTAATTTCCGTTTTTAAGGGGGGGGGGGGGTATCAAGGAAAACATATTTCCAGAGATAATGAAGAATTCATGTTATATTAAATTGTGATAATTCGATATTGCAACAAAACAAAAAACATGATTTCCGTGTGCAGGAAAAAATAAACAAGGTATTCCACGATATTATGTTGTTGTGGGGGAAGTGCGGGGGAGGGGGGTCAACCATTTAATTTTTAACATATTCTTCTGCACCACTCCAGATAACAACAATTACCTTCTGAAGGGGACAATCTCCTTCTTAGCGATGACGTTCTTGAGATAGACCTTGGCTCTATTGAGGGGCATGTGCTTGATGGCCTGGGCTGTCTCTCTTGTGTTCTTGAAGTGAACCCTGTAATAACAATTTTTAATATGTTATCTTTATAGATAAAGTTGTAATCTCTGTTTGTCAATATGTCCGATCATAACTCAAAAGACCAATGCGGATTTGCCTCAAATTTAGTTTCAGGAATTAGGGAGAACATCGGGAATGTTCTCTGCTTGGTTTGAAGACTCCAAGTTAAGTGGGTCCACTCATAAAGGGAAAAAAGCCAAAATCGTAATTTACGACCAAGTGCGAGTTAACCTTTATCCTTTAAAAAACCTGATAAAATAAAAAAAACTGAAGGACGCTTGCCAGTACATGTTTTGGAGGATAACGTGTAGTGATGGAGACTAAGTTGGTTTGATTTTGAGGGGATATTACATTTGCCAAAGAATTAATTAAGCCATTAAAATACTATAATTAAGGCAGAAAATCAAATTTAAAATTGGGATATTCATATTTTAAGAGTTTCCGGCCGTCTTTAAAATCTCATCCTTTGGGGGTAACCCTGTATATTATATAGTAGATTGGTTTTAACAAATTTAATTGCAAGTTGAGCGAGTTGGGTTCAATATAGATTACCGGGCTTTTAGGGCGCTTTGCGACATATTATATTTCAATTGTGAAAATGTTCTATTTTCATACATTTAAAAAAACAAAAAAAAATTTCGCTAAATTATAAAAAAAACTGGATTTTCAAAATTATCACGAACGAATTTTGTTAGAATTTTTGGGTCTTTCCTAGAGAACAATTTTTGGAACCCACCCCTTCCCCTCCAATCAATTTGTACATTTTGTATAATTGATCATGTGGCCGCGGCGCTCGGCTCCCTAGCCTGTCCTAGCCGCAGCGCTAGGTCCAAAAATTGTCTTAACTCTTAACCTAACCTAACCTAAAATGTACAAAACTGAAAGGAGGGGGAGGGGAAGGGGTCCAAAATTGTATACTAGGAAGGACCCTACAAACGAATATTTATTTAGTATTAATTCAGGGTAAGGTTAGGAAAGGACAATTTTTAGGTCGAGCGCTGCGGCTAGGACAGGCTAGGGAGCGCTCCAGCGCGGACAGTCCTTCAATTTCGACAATTTTCTACAATATTTGTACATGTTTAGGGTTAGGTTAGGTTTAAACACTTTCCGGGCCAAGCATGCTAACCTAACCTAATTTCTGATTTCTAAAATTTTCTTGTTGTCAATGCACTTATAGGTATATATGTTAATTTCACTTTTTTTAAAAGAGAAATGTGTTACTTTTTAAAATTCAATTCTTAATAATCTTGAAATTTTAACATTT